CCCAAAGCCTTGGCACATGCACTGATATGGGATACCAGAGATGTACTTAAGTTTCAGAAAAGCTTAGTTCCAGGCGTTGCAGCTACGTGGGGAATGAACCAGTGAATGGAAGGCCTTCCTCCTCCCTGTAAATCTGATCTACTTTTCCAATAGAAATAAGTTTTTTTAAAAAATTATATACAAGTTACCAACTAGGGTAACTAGTGCACAAGGGCTATAACATTTGTGCTTACTTGTATCCTATGAAGGTTACAGTCTATCTCATTCAAATTCTGATGAAAAGGGGACCCAGCACAAAGGCTAAGAGGCTGAATGCTCACCTTGCAGGTGCTGGGATCCTATGTGGTACAGGTTCATGTCCTGGCTGCTCCACTTCCCACCCAGCTCCTTGCTAATGGCCTGGGGAAGCAGGAGAGGATGGCCCAAAGTCTTGGGACCTATACACCCGTGGGAGACCCAGAAAAAGTTCCAGGCTCCCAAGTTCAAATCGGCTCAGCTCCAGCTGCTGCAGCTATATGGGGAGTAGACCAGCAGATGTAAGATCTTTCTCTGAGGTTTTTAATCTGTAAATCTGATCTGTCTTTCCAATTAAAACAAATAAATCTGAAAAAAAATTCTGATGAGGATATAACATTCAAACTTCTCACTGTCCTGACATATCAATAGTAAAGGCACCTGCCTTGTCAACACTCCATCTGGGCGCCAGTTCAGGACCTGGCTATCCCGCTTCCGATCCAGCTCCCTGCTAAACCACTTGGGAAAGCAGCACAAGATGACCCTGCAAACACTGGAGACCAGGAAGAAGCCCCAAACTCCTGGCTTCAGCCTGATCTAGTGCTGGCTGTGGAAGCCAAAGATCTTCCTCCATCTCTGCCTCTTTAACTCTTAAAATCTTCCAAAACTAAACAAAAATTCTCATCAACTTTTTCTACACAATTTCCTATTATATCTATCCAATTGTAACCAGCATCCTACATTTTATATTTTTGTGAATGTCTATGCTAACATGTTAAAGTTCCATTATCATACAGGCACCAGTTGAAGTCCTGGCGGTTCCATTTCCTGCCGAGCTCTTTGTAATACACCTGGGAAAGTAGGAGAGAATGGTCCAAGTGCTTGAGCCCCTAAACTCAAATGGGAAACCATACCTGAAGAAACTCCAGGCTCTTGCCTTCAGACTGTCTTATCCTCTTGCTCTCTCTGTAAATATGCCTTGAAAATAAAATGAAACAGCTAAATCTCCTTTTTAAGATTTTATTTTTATTGGAAAGTCAGATATACAGAGGAGAGACAGAGCAAAGATCCTCCATCCGATGATTCACTTCCCAAGTGAGCGCAACAGCCGATGCTATGGCGATCCGGAGCCAGGATCCAGGAAATTCTTCCAGGGCTCCCTCACGGGTGCAGGGTCCCAAGGTTTTGGGCTGTCCTTAACTGCTTTCCCAGGCTACAAGCAGGGAGCTGGATGGGAAGTGGAGCTGCTGGGATTAGAACTGGTGCCCATATGGGAACCCGGCACAATCAAGATGAGGACTTTAGCCGCTAGGCCATTCTGCCGGGCCCCTAAATCTCTTTTTTTAACATTTATTTTTATTTAGAATGCAAATTTACAGAAAAGCAGACAGAGAATGATCGATCTTCCATCCACTTGTTCATTCCCCAAGTGGCCACAATGGCCAAAGGTAATGTGATCCAAAGCCAGGAGCCTGGAGCTTCCTCTGGGTCTCCCATGCAGGAGGAGGATCACAATGGAGCAGCCAAGACATGAACAGGCACCAAAACAGGACCACAGCCCTCTCCTGGAAGGATTAGTCTGTTATGCCACTGCTCCAAATCCAAAATTTAAATAAATGGGTTTTTTTCTCTCTATAAGTTTTTATCTTTTACACAAGACACCAAGCATTCCTTCCTTACCCTGTATCTACAGATTTAACTAACCATCAAGCTGTTATGATACTTTGCCTCCATGATACCGCAACAAATGTTTCTTAAGTGAAATCACTGCACCATTGCTGATGATCTGCTGCTGTGACCAACACATTGTCACCTTGCTATTCTTAATTTCATTTATCATAACTTTAAATAATCACTTGTGTTCCAAAACTATTTCCCTAAAAAGTTTCACAAGGCATCTGGTACAGTAGCCTGGTGACTACAGTCCTTGCCTTGCAACTGCCGGGTTCATATCCCAGCTGCTCCACTTCCCTTCCAGCTCCCTGCTTGCAGCCTGGGAAAGCAGTAGAGGATGGCCCAAAGCCTTGGCAGCTGCACCCACGTGGGAGACCTGGAAGAAACTGCTAGCTCCTAGCTTCAGATCAGCTCAGCTCTGGCTATTCTGGCCACTTGGGGATTGAACCAGCAGACCATCTATAAATTTGATCAGCCTTTCCAATAAGAATAAATATTTTTAAGTCTGCCATCCCCCCAAAAATAAATCTTTAAGTATAAATAAATCATTAAAATCAACACACTTAGGCAAAGAACATAGTAAAATAATGAAATTTCTTTAAGATTTGTTTAATTTGTATTAAAAAGACAGATAAGGTTTATGGGAAGGGGAGCAGCCAGGACACAAACTGGTGTCCGTATGGAATCCCAGCACGTGCAAGGTGAGGGTTTAGCCTCTGAATCACCATGCTGGGGCCTAATAATAAAATGTAATCATTAAAAATATTCATGTCATGGGGCCCAGCATGGTGGCCTAGCGGCTGAAGTCCTCGCCTTGAATGCACCAGAATCCCATATGAGCTAATATGAGTTCTAATATGAGCTAATATGAGCTAATATGAGTTCTAATCCCAGTGGCTCCGTTTCCCATCTAGCTCCCTGCTTGTGACCTGGGAGAGCAGTGGAGGATGGCCCAAGACCTTGGGACCCTGTACCCATGTGGGAGGCTCCTTGTTCTTGGCTTCAGATCCGGTCAGCACCAGCCACTGTGGCCATCTGGAAAGTGAACCCGTGGATGCAAGATCTTCTCTGTCTCTCCTCCTCTCTGTGTAGCTAACTTTCCAACAAAACCAGTAAATATTAAAAAAAAAAAAAAAAAAAAAGAGCAGCAGAAAATAGTTCAAGCATTGGGTCCCTGCCACCCTGGGAGACCCCGGAGAAGCTCCTGGCGCCTGGTTTCAGCCTCGCCCAGCCCTCACTACTGTAGCCACTTGGATAAGTAAAAGATCTCTGTTTCCTTCTTCTCCCTGTAACTGTTTCAAATAAGTAAATAAATCTCTAAAATATATAAATAAATCTGGAAAGTAATAAACGTGCTAAGTAAATCTACAAAAAGTAGATTAGTGGTTACTAGGAGCTTGAAGAAAAGGAATGGGGATTGATGGATAAGGAGCTTCTGGAGTGGAGTTAAAACAGCACTGATACCGCCTTGTACTACTCTGAATGTGAAAAAGCCACTAAAAGGATGATGAAGTGGCTTATCACGCTGAGGTCTTGGCCACACCTTCAGGCGGGCGCAGCAACATTGCCCACCCATTTCCTGATTAACAGACCACCTTACCTCACCCAAGGACAAGGGGTCAGGGAATGCTTAAAATCCCAAGACCCTTCCTCAAACCTTTGGCGTCTCTCCCTGTCTCCTTTTGAGAGGCACTCTGCCTCCTGGCTTTCTCTCTGGAGGTGCTTTCCCCTTCCCTGTTCTCCCGGTCCCTTTGAAAATAAACTTTTCTGTCTGCAACAGATTCCAGCTTCTTATTTCTATACTGATCTGAGGAAAGAACCCACCGGGCATTTCTGGTAACATAATCCTCTGCCCACCGTGCCAGCATCCGTTCTGGGCCCAGGTTCATGTCCCAGCTGATGCACTTCCTGCTCCCTGCCTATGTGCTGGGAGAGCAGTAGAGGATGGCTCAAGACCTTGAGCCCTGCACCCACGTGGGAGATCCGGAAGAAGCTTGTGGTTTTGGATCCACATCTGTCTCTCAAGTGAAAATGAATAAGTCCCTTTTTTTTTTCCCAAACCATTTAGCTCTACACTTTCTTTCTTTTTTTTTTTTTTTTTAGCTCTATACTTTCAAGGATTCTATTTTTTGGTATGTAAATCACATCTCAACAAAGCTGTTACCTAAAAATAAATTTTAAAGGCTGCCACTGGTAAGTTGCTTTAACTATGAACTTTTTATTGGGAAAGGAAATCACGAAAAGTCAGCGACCAGCAGACCAAGCTGGTTACCTGTGATTTTGGTTAGGTCCCGCCCCAGGCTCCCCCTCCTATTCCTAATAAGTACAAGAACAGGAACCCACACAACAGTGTGAGAATTAGAAGGCCAGCTAGGTTGACTTTCCGGGCTCTATCACTCCCAGACTCTAGGGGGCTTCCTGGCGATCACGGAAGTAGTACTTTCCATTAGTAAGCTCCAGCAGAGGTGTCAGAATAGGATGACACTTGCCTAGATGCCCCCTCTAAAAGCCAGCTTGGGTGGGGGGTGTCACCCACACACCCTGAAGCCCGCGCACGTGTGGGCCTGCCCCCGGGCAACATCGCTGTGCAGCGTGCATCACCGATCCGTATCCCAACTTGCTCCCGAGGAACGGACACAGGAGCAAACCCCGAGATTTCGTCTGTTTCAGATGACAAGTACCAAACCCTCCACGGGTTCCCATCGGAGCCCAACCAGCCCCCGCCCTGCCCCTCCCCGTCCCCAAACCCACACACGTGTTAGCCCGACACCGCCCCACCGAGTCCCACGTGCACCTGGGCGATCACACGCCCCACGTGTGAGCGCCCCACGGGCTTCCTCAGAGAGTTGAGGTCACCGCATGACCCCTGGTCTCCAGGAGTCTAAGAGGGACAGGGCGAGGCCCAGATCCCAGGTCCCAACCCCGCGGGGAGAGTCCACACCCATCCTCTCAAGTAACCCCAACAAATCCCAGGGCCGGGGGCGACGGCCCCTTTAAGACGCGGCCCAGTCCTCGCCCGGCCAGAGGGGCACGACGAGGCCTACTCGAGCCCCCTCCGCCCGCCGGCCGCCCGACCGCCCGGGCCGCCTCACCTCGGGCCGCCGGGCCCCGCCGCCGCGGCGGCGGCGGAGGGGGGGCGGGGTGCGGGCGGGGTCCGGAGGGGGGGGGTCGCCCCGCCGACGGTGGAGACGCGGTTCGCTCGCTGAGGCCGTGGGACGGGGACTGCGCTGGGCGTGGACGCTCCTAGCTCGCTCCCTCGGCGGTTCCTGGGACCCCAAGATGGCGGCGGCGCTGAGGCGGCTGCGGGCGCTGGGCCGGCGGCGGCGGCGGCCACTTTCACTCACTGAGAGGAGCGGAGCAGGGACACGGGGAGCCATGGCGGGGGGGAGGAGAGGCGCCATAGCCAGGCCAGAACAATCGAGCGGCTACTCGGCTGGCGTACCCCCGCCCCGCCCACGCTCGCTGCCCGTCGCCAGCCCGTGGCCGTCCGCAGTACGGTTGTCGTCGACCTCGTGCAGTTCGCACCCCGCCGCTGCCGCCTGACGCCCCGCGCGGACCGGGGTTCGGGGGGCAGACCCTGATCCATAACATCTGCATGCAGATTGGTCAGGGCTGGGACTGGCGAAGATTGCCGAAAGGCGGCGGGGAGGAGGAGGAGGATGTCGTCGCTAGAGTGAGCAAGCAGATCTCGCGCGAGCAAATATCGCGATACCTTGTCCGCGGGGCAACTGCCGGAGAAAGGTTACAGTTCCCGGAAGTACCGTCAATCGAAACCGCCCGGGATGCATGGAATGGTGGATTGTGCCGGCTGAGCTTTGCTAGGGGTGACCCGAGGCTGAGTTAAAGGCACTCGAGGGGAGAGGCAGCCTCGGGCTGGTGTTTCGGACTCCTCGGGGACTGGAGGGTAGAATTCCTCGCGGTGTCACGCCGCTCCATAGAGGACCCAGTTGACGTTTTTCCCTTTAGGTGAGATGGCATAGTTAGGGAAGACCTGGGAATTGGGAGCACACACACCTGTTAGGGGTAACGCCACTCCCTTGTCACAGCCACAGAGCCTCTCATTAGCAAATCATTGACTTATAAAAAGGCCTGTACCAGCTTGAAAAGTGTGAACCTGGCGTGATCTCGTTCACATCCCGTAACAGTGGGTGCACCCGTTTGCATTGTCTTCTCCCTTTTTTCCACTCTTCCATCCCCCTCTAATTTATTTGCCCATTGTGACCATTTATAAAGGACTTCAGCCACTAGGCTGCTGCATGGGGTCCTAAATAAGTATATTTTTTAAGACCACCAGCCTGGCATGATGGTTCAGCAGCCCATATGGACACCAATGTGTGTCCCACCTGCTCAACTTCCCATCTAGCTCTCTACTTGTGGCCTGGGAAAGCCCCAGAGGACGGCCCAAAGCCTTGGGACCCTGTACCCACGTGGGAGACCTGGAGGAAACTCCTGGCTTAGGATCAGATCGGCTTCAGCTGTTGAGACCATTTGGGGAATGAAGCATTGAATGGAAGATCTTTCTGTCTCTCATTCTTTGGTTTTGTTTGTTTGCTTGCTTTTGTTTTTGGTTTTTTTTAAGATTTATTTTTATTATTTTTTATTGGAAAGGCGGATATACAGAGAGGAAAGACAGAGAGGAAGATCTTCCATCCGATGAGTCATTCCCCAAGTGAGCGCTATGCCTATCCGAAGCCAGGAGCCTCTTCCGGGTCTCCCACGCGGGTGCAGGGTCCCAAAGCTTTGGGCCGTCCTCGACTGCTCTCCCATGCCGCAAGCAGGGAGCTGGATGGGAAGTGGAGCTGCCGGGATTAGAACCAGCGACCAGCATGCAAGGCGAGGACCTTAACCACTGCGCCATCGCGCCGTGCCCACACTCATTCTCTTTGTAAATCTGCCTTTCCAATAAAAATAAAATCTTAAAAAAGTAAGTGAAAGACCCCATTTCCCATTCTGTTTGTTCTCAGGACCCCCAGCTTGGGTATTATCAGTAGTCACTGTTTCCTGCGGTAACAGGTTTTGGCAGCGTTTTCTGGCCTTTCCTTGGACACACCCAGCTATTGCTCTGTCCTTTCCAAAGCACAATTGGAAGTGGAGCAGCTCAGACACCAACTGGTGCCCAAATGGGATTCCCGCAAAGCCCTTTTTCTAAGGTCTCTCTTTCTCTCTGGAACCTGCCTTTCCAATAAAAATAAATAATGCTTTTTAAAAAGTTGCTCATGATCAGAAAAGGCTCCACATGATAATTTAAATGATTTTTTCAAAGAAATCACTATTAAGGTTAACTGTGAGATTCCCACCTTCCAGAGGCACACCTGTCACATCTTCTACCTTTCTCCAGTGCAAACTGGCCAACTTGTGTTTATCTTTATGTATCCAAGGATTGCATCAGTCTCCTCCCAGCTGCCTTTCACCATAACCCCCAGGCTTTGTGAGAGGACTCTTAAACTTAAATTATACTACAATCTGTTACAAAATGAAGTTAGATTAGGAGCCATCTGTTGCTTTCTCCAGGAAAAAGCCTTGGGGTGGAGGAGGGACAATGACACATACACTGAGGTCCAAATAATCCAGACTCGGGGTCTGGTCACAGGCCATGACTGGCCTCTCTCTGGAGCCTTCCGGAGGACCAGACAGGGAAGCAGGAGTCTGGGCGGAGAAGTGCCCTGGGTTTAGCTTCCTTCTCCCAGGACATCTCCTAGCTGCTCTCTGCTCAGAACTTCAGCAGCAGGGAGGGAAACCAGAGAATTGGTTAGCTCCTTCCTTTCCCAGGAAGACAGTCCAATCCCCATCCCAGGAAAGAGAGCTTGTGTTTCAGGGTGAATATTCCATGGTGGAGTTGTGGGGTGCAAGAGAGATCACACCACACAAGTCTAGGAAGATAGATGGGAAGCAGGGCCACCAGGAATAGAACCAGTGCCCATATGGGATCCCGGCACGTTCAAGGCAAGGACCTTAGCAGCTAGGCTACCGCACAGGGCTCGGTTTATTCATTTTTATTAGAAAGGCAGATTTACAGAGAGAAGGAAGTGCAGAGAGAAAGATCTGTCTGCTGATACACTTCCTAAGTGGCTGCAATGGCCGGAGATGAGCCCATGATAGGGAGGCGCTCTCTCACTTGCTCACGTGCTTCTGTCATTCTGGCGCCCTTATTCTTGGCCTCCCCAGTAGCTGCTTGGTCTCTGGCTTCCCATGCTCAGACTCCGGGGACAGGATCTCTCCTTTATCAACCAAGTTTTATGCTAACAGACCCAGCTAGAAAGCAGCAAATGACAAGTCCATATGGCAGTCCAGTCTGAATCAAAACCCTGAGAGAAACAAATAGTCATTACCCTGAAGTCCATCTGTTAAACTGAAGACCTATATCCCAGCTTCACCAACAATATAAGTTATCCTAACAGACATGCAGTGAACAACCTGGACAACTTACAAAGCTACATTCACCTTCTCTGTCCACATTCTGTTACTGGTAGGGGTCACCTCTCTTGGAGCTCTTGAAACTACACAAATCAGATACCAAGCATGCTAGCATTAGCATCTTTACTATACTGCCCAAGCAGTGAACAGAAGGTTTGAAATGCAGACACACAGGGGTGGTACTTGGATGAGGAATCAGATGGGATAGCAGGCAACGAGGGTTTTTCTGGTCGCTGGGCAGGAAGTTTTTTTTTTTTTTTTTAAGATTTATTTATTTATGGAAAGTCAGATATACAGAGAGGAGGAGAGACAGAGAGGAAGATCCTCCGTCCGATGATTCACTCCCCAAGTGAGCGCAACGGTTGATGCCATGCTTATCTGAAGCCAGGGTCCAGGAACTTCTTCCGGGTCTCCCACACGGGTGCAGGGTCCCAAGGCTCTGGGCTGTCCTCGACTACTTTCCCAGACCACAAGCAGGGAGCTGGATGCGAAGTGGAGCTGCTGGGATTAGAACCCGGCGCCCACATGGGATCCAGGTGCGCTCAAGGCGAGGACTTTAGCCGCTAGGCCACGCCGCCGGGCCCTTTTTTTTTTTTTTTAAAGATTTATTTATTTTATTACAAAGTCAGATATACAGAGAGGAGGAGAGACAGAGAGGAAGATCTTCTGTCCAATGGTTCACTCCCCAAGTGACTGCAACGGCCGGTACTGCGCCAATCTGAGGCCAGAAGCCAGGAGCTTCCTCCAGGTCTCCCATGTGGGTGCAGGGTCCCAAGGCTTTAGGCCATCCTCAACTGCTTTCCCAGGTCACAAGCAGGGAGCTGGATGGGAAGCAGGGGTGCTGGATTAGAAGTGACGCCTATACGGGATCCCAATGTGTGCAAGGCGAGTACTTTTTTTTTTTTTTTTTTTTTTTTGCACCGATCTGAAGCCAGGAGCCAGGAGCTCTTCCAGGTCTCCAACACGGGTGCAGGGTACCAAGGGATTGGGCCGTCCTCAACTGCTTTCCCAGCCACAAGCAGGGAGCTAGATGGAAAGTGGGACCTCCGGGATTAGAACTGGCGCCCATATGGGATCCTGGTGCATTCAAGTCAAGGGCTTTAGCCACTAGGCTGGTCCAGACTGCCACCAGCCGTATCTGTTGTGGATATCTGTGGATGTGTCAGTCTGGTCAGGGAGATACAAAATGGGGCAGTCACTTTGAAAACAGTCTGGAGAGTTCCTCAGAAAAGGAAGCATGCGTGTAGAATGGGATCCAGCAACTGCACCCCTGGGCTTTTCTCCCAGACAAAATGAAGACTCATGTTCACACACAGATCTGTTGATAGCAGCTTTTTTCGTAATAGTAAAAAACTGGCAATAACCCGGATTTCATTCCACAGAAGAATGGCTAAACTAGGGCAGATCCAATTTCGTGGAGCCTATTCACGTGAGAAGCAGTATGGGGTAAACACAACAGCCTAGAACCTTCAGAGAACCATGTTGAGTAAGAAAAGACAAACTGGGGCCCGGCGCGGTGGCACAAGTGGTTAAAGGTCCTCGCCTTGCACTCCCGGGATCCCATATGGGCGCCGGTTCTAATCCCGGCAGCCCCGCTTCCCTTCCAGCTCCCTGCCTGTGGCCTGGGAAAGCAGTCGAGGACGGCCCAAAGCTTTGGGACCCTGCACCCGCATGGGAGACCCGGAAGAGGCTCCTGGCTTCGGATAGGCATAGTATCTCGGCCCGTTGAGCTCACTTGGGGAGTGAATCATCGGATGGAAGATCTTCCTCTCTGTCTCTCCTCTCTGTATATCCGCCTTTCCAATCAAAAAATAATAAAAATAAATCTTTTAAAAAAAAAAAAAAGACAAACTGGGGCCCACACTGTGGCATAGCATGTTAACCTTCACCTGCAGTGCCAACATTCATTTTTGGGCTCTGGTTGCTCTACTTCTGATCCAGCTCCCTGCTGAGAAAGCAGCTGAGGGGTGGCCCAAGTGCTTGGGCC